TATATATATATATATATATATATATATATATATATCTCAACTAATCAGAAAATAAGGAATTCTTACAGTTTTTTGAGTATTTAGATGGATACAAACCAGAATTTAAATTTGAAAGTTTTTTAGTAGAATGGTCAAAGGTCAAATCAAAGCATTTCATACTTAAAATTTATAAGCATTATAATAACATGATATTAACTTAATTTAATTAAATACGCAACACATATTAGTGATTTGAACATGAAAAGAAAATAACAGTCACAAAAGAAGACAAAATGAAAAAAACTGTTAAATTGCAATACTACCTAATCTATATCTACTGCCAGTAACAACAACAAAAAAATTTCTTACATTAAATAATACGTTTTATTGAACATTTTCACTACAAAAGAGAAACAAACTTTATTAAATGTTTTGAAAATTACTCCTAAATAATAATTTAAGACATGCAAAAAAAAAAAAAANAAAAAAAAAAAAAAAAAAAAAAAAAAAAAAAAAAAAAAAAAAAAAAAAAATCAGCAAGAATTGATAAACTTGTTGAAAATCAGAATGATATATCAATTTACTATTCAAATCTAGCAACTTCCTAGTATAATAAATCAGCATTGGGAAATGGGTAGAAATTAATTAAAAAAAAAGGTATTTTACAAATTTATACAAACAGTCTAACCAAGGATACACAATCATTTTAAAAAGTGAGCCAGAAAGACTTTAAAGTACCAGTTTAGGGTGAACATTAATATAAAACTGTATGTGTGAAAATGAAGGGAACATCTAGATTTCATTTGAAAGTATTATGAATGAACAACAAAAGTATAATTAATTACTTTCTAACTGAGGTACCAATAACAAAATTAAAAATGAATAAATAAATATTTTAAGTAAATAACTCAAAATTATTTTACAAGTATAGTTAGCTACAAGACTACAAAGCAAATTGTCACAGGAAATCTTTAGGCATAAGAGAAATTAAATTTTATTACTACAGAAGTTAACTTATTATGCATAAAACAAAGTTTTTAATTAATACAGTACCAGAATTACATGCTGGTCATGATTGGATACTATGTAATAAGACATCAATAGTTCAATAACTTACTGTTACAAAACATAGCTTAAAAAAGACTTTTTATGTTACTTTTGTCTTTCCTCATATATTTACAGGTACTTAAAACAATTCAGAAGCCATAAAAATAGATTTCGAGATCTGCTTTTGACCTCTGAGCTATAGATTGTGCATTAAATTTTTATGACACAGCTACACTGTTCAGCTTTGAGGACTCCGTCAGACTAAAAGTCTGGGTACGTCTGCTGCTATGGTAACTAGAGAAAGCACATTTCTAAGAGTCAATTGATCACAAAGCAAAGATTCTCACACTGACCTGTGCTAAAATAAAGCAAAACTTTTCATCCCATACCCTTAGTTGAAGTGACCTATGCTCCTAGCCACAGTGCTCGTCACCACACACGACTGATGTCTGATCACACAATAGGTTATACAGTGTTTTCATCATAGAAAAAAAATGGGTGAGAATTTCTCACCCTTTCTCAAACACAGGGTGAGATTTCAAAAAGTTAAGTGAGATTTCTAAAAAAACACAAAAACTCTTGAAAAAGAAATCATTTCTTTAATAATAATACATTTTTAACGTCTTCTATTTTTTAAAGTATTGAATATTTTTGATGCATCATCATAGAAGATTTTGCCTTTACTAGGTATTTGTCCATCTTACATTAGTGCATAAAAAATTTGAACGTCTTACATGAAGAAACCTTACCTACGGTAAACACGTGGTTGCAGAGAAATGTGTTCTGAAAGGGGTTCCGTGGTTGTGTTCTGTTGTTCGAAAAGGTTCTGAACAATACTGGTAAATAGGGAAGCTAGATAATGGGGCAGATGTTGAAAATAATGAAAGATCCAGTAAGAAAAGTGAAACGGATTTTATTCTAAATTGCGTAATTCGAAGCTTTTTCCGAAATGCGAGAAATTCGCGAATTTTGAAATTGATTTATAGAATGCGCGAATTTCTCGCGGTAATCATTTTTTAATGCGAGAAAAGAAAAAAATATGCGAGATTCTCGCGTTCTCGCGCTGTAGTGAAAACACTGGGTTAAGGATTAAGCATTAAATGCATCACAGTTACCAATATTTTGATAACAAACATTTTAAAGACATTTGTGTATATAAAACAACAGTGAATAAATATAATAAGGCAGATTTTTTTCTTCTCATAAATACACCATTTTGGAACACTTTAAAATAAAATCAAGTAAAAAAAAAACGGTACTTATGCTATCACAATTAAAATATATAGGTATCTAGTGAAAAATAAATATTTAGTGAATAAGGAATTAGGAAAAAAAGATAGTGATAATAAATTAAAGTACAACCTCCATAAAGATCATCAAAGCATATGATATGATCCCCAGCTTTTAACAAGTATGTTAAAGACATAGTAGCTGCTAATCCAGATGCAAAGCAAAGAGCTGAAATAATAAAATAGCTTAAATACTTCATTTATTACATTCAATATAAATTATGTAAAAATAACAAATTCAATGTACCCAATAATCATTTGGTACAGCTAAAAATAAGATCAGAAGTGGAATGAACTTATACATGATTTCCAAACTTATATTATTCCTCATTTAGTGTAAAATGTTTTGTGGTGATAGTTGAAAAACCTACATTTAATTATCTAAAGACAAAATTAACATCAATTTTTTTTTTTTTCTCCGGAGATTGCCTAAAAATAGGATCCTATCTTTGAAGGGGGGGAAAAACATATAAAAACCATGTCTTTTAAATTGAAGTAGTATTAAAATTAGGAATAAAATATTTCATGTTTTTATGAAAATATATTTTGTGAAGAATCTGTTTTAACTGTGAAAAATTTCGTGAAGGATATGTAATAGTCCCACACTTCTCAAAAAAATTTTACATAGAATTTCGTAAAAAGGCCCCCTTTTTAAAATTAAAAATGTTACAAAGCATTCATTTTTAAACTAAAATATATTATGTTTTTATGATAATATATTTCCTGATTAATCTGTTTTAAATATGAAAAATTTCGTGAAGGATATGTTAATGGTTCCACATTTCTCTAAAAATGACACCCAATATGTTTTCATGATTTCACACATCGTAATTTAGTCATAATGTTCATATACAAACAGGAGTTAGAGAAACAATGCAGCATAAAAAGAAAAATCAAACAGAAATTTAAAAGTTTTGTTTCCTACTATATCAGTCTGAAGAATCATGGGTAACAAGGTATACTTTAGTTTTAAAAAATCAAATTAACTAGTTCAATTTCAATAGTGTTATAATGAAACCAAAATCATCATAATAAATTATTTCTAAACATATTCATTATTATTATTTACAATTACTCATAGATAAAGCACCACTAGCATACTAATTATCATTCACTCTTCTTCATTCAAAATAATAATAAACAATAATTCTTTCAGATATTTTTAAGATATACAAGTTTATCAAATAATTCTGTGATAATAAAAAAATTTGGGTCTTGTGGATTTCTTTATGGGTCATAAATATATAACCAACATTTTCGGTGATAGATAACTTTTTATAAGCTGGCTATCAAAATTAGATATGCATTATATGAACTATATCTAGTTTCAAAAGCAAGAAAAAGTAATAAATGCATTGAATAAACACACTAAACACAACATAAAAATTAATAAATTGAAAATTTTATCTGATGGAGAAATTACCATATTTTCCATTTTCAAGAGATGCGATGCTCTGCTGTAAACACTCTCTGGTAGGATTTCCACTTCGAGAATAATCAAATCCCTGCAAAAGAAAACTTACTTTTACAGAGAATTATTCGATAAAATTTATTTTTTACATTAAAAAAATTAAAAACAGAATCACCTTTAAGGAAAATAAAAAATTTAATAAATATATTTTTCGAAGAATCGAACTAATTTTAATTTCATGTATGACAGCTTTTAATGAAAAGTAGTGAATTGCTGGGGGAAAAAAGAAACATAAATCCTACTTAAATGAATCCTTAGATAACAATGCTGTTTAGGAAACAATGGTTAACAAAAAATTAACTTTTTCTGGAACCTTTAATTAAACGTTTGACTAGTTAGGATAATTTCCCTTTTTCATTTAAATTACTGTCAAATTAACTTTAAAATGTAAATTAAATTTAAAATTGAATATCTTCTTAAAAATATTAAACAGTGCGACATGTACTATATTAAATAATGAAATAACCACATTAGCAACAACAACAAACAAAAAGTAACTATAAAAGAAAAAGAAAATTTCAAAGCGTCAGAAAAAAATATAATTTTAAATAAACACATGATAATAAAACAAGTAACAAAGTTAAAATACGTATGTAAATTCAACCATTTAAAAAATAAGTGTAGGCTGTTATTTTTAACATTTTTAAAAAATAATTTAAAGAAATAGGCGAATTTACTGGGACCGGCGAAATGGAAAAATATCGGTGATACCTAAAAGCACGGGACAAAAGTAAAAGAATAATGGAGACAAATAAAAAAATTTAATACTAAAATGAAAACAAATTTTAACAAAGAAATTAATATCTTACAGCAGTTTCACCCGGAGAAAATTGCTTAAAGGTAGTAGACAATGAAATCGGCGGAATGACGGCTCGGCTTTTCCATTTTTCGGGATCCTGACCATCGTGAATGCAACGTGTTGCGAAATCAGCAGAGGGTGGAGACATTTTAATCAGACTTAAGCAATACACTAGTACTTCTGCAAAAATTTAATAAACTGGGAGGAGGATGAAATGACGGGACTTTAAATAACGATAGATCATCGAAAGCGATCACGAGTGTTTGTTTACTGTTGACGCTTCTGGTTACGTATTTCTGCCTCAATGAATAACCATTTTTTCAAATTAAAAGGCCTCTAAACGAGCGATTTCACCGTTCTTCCAAAGGGGTCGTTTTTATTGCTATTGAAAACTGATGAAAACTGAACTGATTGGCGAGCTTGACGTTAGTCAATTCAGTTGCTCCATGTTTACTTATTCATTACGAATATTACCGCAGAAGTCAAGCATCATTGGCTGCGGTCAGTATGCGGGTGGGTGACAACTTGGATCAGTCTGTGTAGGGATCGAGGGTGTGCGCTATTGTTCCTCGTTAAACCGTTCTCTAAAGTGCTCAACTTTGCATGCAGGTCGTTGGTCGGGCTACCAAAGCGGGGTTGCCATCCCCTCTGCAGAGGATCAAAATTGTGATGGCATGTTTTCGGATCATCCTCAGGGATCTTTCCCAGATCGTTGCCAATGGCCCATTGCGCAGCTCTAGAACGACGTAAATGAACTACAACAACAGCATCGTTACGAATAATATTTTCGAAATATGAAAGAATAATATCATAATTTTTTTTAAAACTAGGAAACATATGCCGTTCAAAATTTTAAATTATTTTACATGCAACTTATTTTCTGAGTTTTACAATTGAATGGTAAAAAACAGTAGTTGATCGAAAATTGCAGGAAAATACCTAAATTAGAAACTTAATTATGATGAAAATTTTAAAGTTTTGCAATCAATTTTTTTCACCAATGTCTACTTTGTACTTAAGCAAGTAGCAAATTTGAGGTCAGGCCTCTAACCATTAAAATTGGATCCAAACATAAAAACCATGATACCATGATAGTCCGTTTTTATTTATTTAAATTTTTTTTTATTGATTTCTTTTAATGTTATCTTAAGGGAGCGAAGGAAACAAATTTTTTTCTGTACTTTTATTTCTTAGAGAAAATGAAACACCAAGCTGTAAATACTTAACCCAATCGCTCAGATTCCTTGCATTTTTTAAACTAAATATTCGCTATCGAATCGTCTATTAAATTCGCTTTTCAAACTCCTATACTTTTGCAAAAAAAAGAAAAAGAAAGGTCAATTGTTGTTGTTGTAATTTACGTCGCACTGGAGCTTCACAATGGGCTATTGGCGATGGTCTGTGAAACATCCCGGAGGATGATCCGAAGACATGCCATCACAATTTTGATCCTCTGCGGAGGGGATGGCACCCCCGCTTCGGTAGCCCGACGACCTGCGCGCGAAGTCGGGGACTTTACGGTAGCACAGTTTGACGAGGACCAATACCGCACACCCTCGGTCCCTACACAGACTGATCCAAGTGGTCACCCACGCGCACACTGACCGTAGCCAGTGATGCTTGACTTCGGTGATCTGCTGGGAACCGTGTCTTAACGATCAGTCCACTGCGGGACGAAAGGTCAATTATATGGCTTGCTTGTAAAGGAAAACGGATATTATCTGCTGTCATCATGTCAATTTTTTGGTTTTCATCCATGGTTTTCAGTAAATGCCATGGGAGGGGAGAGGTAAACCGAGTCCCTCGACCGGGCTTGTCCCGGTTGGAATCTGCACCTCATCTCCCGTGAAATCTCTCGCGGCAACGAGATCTAAATTTGTACCCGAATATCGAATTTTACTGGGGAACGGGGAAAGTATATTCTTATTTAAATCATTTTTAACATGGATGTAAATTAATTTCTCCAACAAAGTTCGTTTGAAAAAAGTAGTGACTGTATTCCGAAAGTAGTTTGTATAGTCACTATTTTTTTAAAAAAGAAAGTAGTCGAAGTGAAACCTCATTTATAGTAATAAAGTAGAGTTGTTAACTGCAAAAAAAAAGAATAGTGCGGAGTCCCTCCGCGAGAAAAAAAGTTAAAGTTCGCAACCTGCGACGTTATTTGTAGAAGAATCAGCAGTCGTAGAAGGGTTACTAGTTCTATTCAATGACTCTTTTTACCGCTCCACTCGCTTCCGTGTTCTGTAATCACGATAATATTGTGCATTTTCCCCTCTTGAACCAGTAGAAGTGCTTGTGGTTGCCTCATCGTTTCGCCCTGAAAAATGTATTTGTATTAATAAGAATGAGGGAAAACTGGATCCTACCACGTGATTTCCCGGTCAATAAAAATGTAGCCCTGTTGGAAGTCGCATAAGACAACCCTGTTGGAAGTCGCATAAGAAGTATTACTTCAATATATAGTTTTTCCAACCACTGCATGATACCTTGCTACAAGAAAAAAAAAACGACTTTTTTTTCTTTACACAACTGTCTTAAGCCTTCCGAATGTAACATATCGGATACGCATATGGCAAACATAGATAACACTTTGATGTCTGTCATTATGATTGTTTTACTTTCACCAATCTATCTGATTGCAAGTTATCATAAATGGATGAAGAGCAAGCACATAAGTGAGCAAGAGATGAAAGAGTTGTCTAATCTACTGATATAAGTTATCTCCCCTTATCAGCACGAGAAGATATATAAATACTATTTTTATAAGAAACTACTTTTAAAGATATGCTTTATGACACAACCTCCACAAAATTTTAGAATAAAATTTTCAAAAAATACTTTATTTCCCGAAAAAATACCTAAACTTAACTTTCAAACAAGTCTTTAAACTTTTCAGGTTTTACTCAAGTTTCAGACTATATGAAAAATGATCAATAAATAAATAAATAAAATAAAATACCGGTCAATTTAAAATGTCACTTGTAATATCTCCGTATATTCTGAAAAAAGAAATGTTTTATAATTTACTCGATAAGCGAGAATCTGATTTTTTTTATATCCACTTAAGAATTAACAAATTTCTTGGAGAATCTACATTATTTTTTACTTTATTCTCATTGGTTATTTCATTCGGCATATTATTTCAAAATGTGTGTCAATTGAATTTAAGTTGTGCTGAAGTAAATTATAAATTGAAAAATGATCAATAAATAAATAAATAAAATAAAATACCGGTCAATTTAAAATGTGTGTCAATTGAATTTAAGTTGTGGTGAAGTAAATTATAAATTGCATTATTTCTTTATTCCTTCCTTTACGAAACAAGAAGTCCTGATGATCGTTTCACTATAACGACACTATTCCATGGGCCTTATTATCTCTCAGGCCTACGTCACCTAGGTACAGTGTTTAAAAAGGCACTAAGTGACTGTAGTTAATATTTATTTTTAACTGTATTTTCTTGTTCTCTTCCTAAGGATATATCAATATTTTTTAAATGCCCGTTTACATTAAACATTGTTAATTTGATTTATTTTTTAACTACTTTCATGAATTTTTTTTTTTTATGCTTATGTATTTATATGAATAGTAAAATTAGAATTTGATGTTCTTTTATATTTTCAACAAGTTAGTACTACTGTTAGTACTCTACAAAAAAAAAATCCTAAATTAGAATTTCCTCATTGCAGAAATAGGTAATAATTCAGAAATTTATACCGGATTCGCTGAAATAAAGGAATTTTTTTTGTTTTATTTTATTTTCTTATTTTTAAAAAAAGCGAGACATTTGATTTAAGTTCAGGGCCTTGGTCCAAGCTCACTCTAGTCAGCCCCTGCACTGTGTTAATGACAATCTATAAAGTTAGGCATAGCATGAGAATTTTTTAAATTTCTCATTTAATTTAAATCAATACCATATTATGCATTTTATGCTGCTTATATTTACTTCTTTCAAAATCAAAACACAACCTAAGTATACGAAGAAAATATACTAAATCAACTTTTAAGTTCATGAGTTAACATTACATTACATTGAGTTCACGAGCATGAAGTGAACATTACATGAACATAAGTTCATTTTTAAACAATGAGTTAGTAATAACACCTATAGTAGAAATAATTCGAAACTCTTTTCTAGCAAGATACGACACATACTGTAATGTATTATTTGAAAGGCATATAATGAGACAATGGCAAGTATTAGTGAGGTTTTTAAATTAGTAAATATTAAAAAGTGGTGGCAAAAGGATTTAGTTTTTATTTATTTTTAGGAGTTAATTTATAATTTCAAAGAATGGATATATAAATCGAAATGAATTTTACCTTATCGCTAAGTGCATTTTTACACACTATTATGTTTACAGTGACTCTTAAAGGTGTTCATACACTTATGACTTTCAATGAAATAGGACTCTGTTCATTAGTTAAAATGAATAGCTCAGAATGAGTATTTAATACTAAGATTTATAATCTATTCCTAATAAAGCTAAAAACATGTAATATTTTAAAAACAAAGTAAACGTGTATTCTTACGAAATTATTAACAAAAAAGTATTAAAAAATTCGTCATAAAAGCCATTGCATACTTAAATGTTTTCTGAAAAATTTATTATTAAAATTATTGTCTATTGCTTTATTTTTTTATTTATTGATTTTTCATTTATTTTGTCCAGACTGCGTTGTGGTGAGAGAGCTGACCTTACATCAGGAAGGACCTGGGTTCGAAACCAGGACAAAGCACGGATGTTCCTTCATTCTCTGTACTATATCTGTCCTTATTAACTTAGTTGTAAAATTTGGATTTAACAATGAAAAGGAGCATTTTGAGTCTTGTCGATTTCACCATTGTCCTCTTACTATACAAGTACATTTGATAGTTTTTATACAGAGGCTTTGTTTACATTATATTATATATTTGTATTTAAATTGCATGAGATTTAATTCAATGTAGATTTAGTCATATTTACATGGAAAAAAGTAAAATTTCTGGATATCTTAAATTCCATATATAGTAAATGCTTTATAATTAGAAAATAATTTCAATTAAGAAACTTAAATAAAATTCATATTTTACAACATTTTACTTAGAAATGATATTGAGCTTACCTTTTTATTTCCAAAACAAGTAGGAAATTCCTTTATTTGTAAAGAAAATTATGCTATATAACTCTCGATACTTTGATTTTTATGTATGATTGCAGCAACGGGTAGTGCTCCACCTTTCGTTGTTGTTAAAAGTATCGTTAAGGTAACACCACCACTTTCACACAACTTGCAG